TTGTCATTTGTGTTATAAAGTTTTATTCTTTACTTTACATATGAGATATAAAGAGTGTGTAGAACAGTTCACAAATAATTAAACTCTTTGCCTTATCCAAGTCCAGCAATTCAATTACTCGTATGTAACTTACATTTATTGCCTTCTGGAAGTTATTGGAACAGAATCATACTAATTATTTGGGATGTATGAATTTCCTAAGTCATATCTACAACTTTTAAATTTTTTTTTTATTAAATACTTTTTTGTATCTTATATATGATGCAACTTAATAAGAGATTTTATTGTATACCTTGTGTTAAAATTAACCTATCAACAAAAAAGAGAATCTGATTATGTAGTTTTCAGGATTGAGTGTGAGTGATGCAAATGCTACTGTTCATGTCAGTGTGCATGTTTGGTTTAAGTTCAAGATTTCCTGTGTTTTCTTAGCACATTCAAGCAYATGTAGTCTGACAGTATTCTAAAAGTTGTCAGTACAATTTAAAGTAGTCTTCTKCAGATCAGGTTTGGAATCACATGTTTATTTGAAAGTAATAAAAATAACAACAATATAAATGCAGTGTAAGTGAAATGGYAACATAGAGGATAATCTAAGCATATATCATGAACCATGTGGTAAAATAATTGCTAGCAGTCTTAATTAAGATGAGAACAGACAGTGTTAATGAGAAATGAAGGCTGTTCCATGCTTTAGTTGTCACAGTCACCCTGATTTAAGCACTTTCAGGGCCATTGAGCTGAAAACATTTTTAGAGCATAATACAATGGAGAGGCCATTATATCAGACTGAACATTTTGCAGAACAGCACTATTAAGAGATTTGTGATAACTAGTGGCAGACTGGATTAATGTAGTAGACTCACATCCAAATCTCTCCTAGGCCAGGAACAAAAATGAGTGTAGATTGTGGGTATACATAACAGTGGCTGTCACTCTCCCATGAACAATCTTTTGTAACTTAGAAAAAAATACAGAAAGGTGATAGAAGAGAGTTTCTCAAGTCATATCTAAAATGCTGAGAGAGGATTTAGTTTAATTAGATTAGTGTTTTCCTTTCTTAAGTGACATTTCTCTTCCTGTTTGTGTTTTCCGTTGGATTTTGTTTGGCTGTCTGTAAGGTGAATTTGCTGAGAATGTGTCTGTATTTCAGAGGTTTATTTTACTGTCTGCCAGCACTGCTGAAGAGACATGYACCCATTCTTGTGCTGGCTTTAGAGATTACCTTGAGTAGCAGCATATGAAATAAAGACACTGCTTTTATTAACAATTAATATGGAAAACCTGGAACCTTTTAATATTGGACATTATAAAGTAAGTTGGTTTTTTTGTTGTTTTTTTGTTTTGTTTGGTTTGGTTTTGTTTTGTTTTTTTTGTTTGTTTGTTTGTTTTTTGTGGGATACAGACTTCTTTTTAATCAACACTTAGTCTTTCCTTTAATTCGGGAGCCATAGTTTTTGACTTGAGCTGGAGTTGCATCAGTTCTAGAATCTGGGACACACTGAGCACTGCAAAWATCAAGAGAAGCAGCTGGGAGCAACCTCTTGTGTTCCAAACCAGAGTGAGGGAGATGTGCACGCAATGGGAGGGGCAGGTCACAAAACTGTTTACCAAAAGATGTAATTCTGTAAATAGTCTGTAAATACTTTCGGGTTGAGGCTGGGATGGAAGATCCATTGTCTGACACTTTGCCCAGGCCATGCAATACACTGAAGTAAAATTGCTGTGGGCATAATTCTGTAGTGACTTGGGAKAGGCCTTGAATAGTTCCATGGGTGTTTTCCCTCTCTGTCCTATTTCTGCACTACATTAGTCGGCTCAAGGAAAGGGCACTGTGAGAGGTACAGGGCACCTCTTGGTGCTGGGACCCATCTGCTGAGTTGATAAAAAGGCTGATGCTGATAAAGAGAAAAAATCTTCAAACACATAAATAAGCAGAATCCCATTATCATGCTTTTGTTATTTGAATAAGTGGTTTTCCACAGTTTTCTGCAAATAAAGCTGTTTGGCCTTGATTGTGGTAGTGGGGCTGGAGAGCACTGCCCGCCTTCCCCTTCCGTCACCCATTGTGCTGGGGCTGAACACCACGAGAGGCTTAAGAAACATCCCCCTTTAACATTAGGGAAAGGTTTCCCCTGCCATTTTCACTCTGCACCCCTTATGGAAAAAGCATGTGCACATTCAGTGGCTGCTAAAGATTAATTAAAATATTGCAAAGCTTTCTTTCTCAGGGGGGTAGTTGTGAGGAGAAATGGTAACTCAAATATCTCACTGCTTCTGTAGCAGCCCACTGTGCAGTCACCAGAGCAGTTCCTTCATTACCAGCAGTGCACTTCATCTTSTTCCCATATAGTAAAATAAGTGTGAGGTGGTTTATGTATTTCTAGTTCATTTTAAAGTTTGTACGACATCCTGCTGAAGAGAATACTGAACAAAGTTATTTTAGGAGTATTTTTCTCTCCTATTTATGTGCATTTGCATAGAAACTAAGATTAGTACTAGAAAGGTATTTGTCATATTTTTGTATTTTAATGTTACTGATGTGCTGTATCACTAAAGATTCAGTATTGTCTGAAGAGTTTTTAGTGATTAAAACTTTTTGCAAATTAACACAAATTTGGGTTAGATTGCACTTTTTAGCAAGGTAAAATATTTATTTGTTGCATTCTTATTTCAATAATTTTTTTCAGGCTAAAATGGTTTGGTTTATGATTTTTTGGTAATTTAATTTTTAGATTTTGAAAAACACTAAAATAAAWATGGCAATTTTTGTTGTTTATGAGTTCCTGYTCTTGACTGAAAAATAATGGTATTTGATTTCAACAGAAAAAAACTTACATTTTCTAAAATAATGCTTTTGCGGCTCAGAAGATTTCTATGGTGTTGTCCTGCTAAAYGTAGAACTGAAATAGTTTTTATACAAATCTGATTAATGCAATAGCTATAAAAATTAATACAGTAACTAAAATATTGTGGTCTTACACGAAAATACCAGGATCACATTTKTTTCTAAAGGCAACAATTTTGATCTTTGATTTCTCCCAATTTTTTAGCAGTGCACAATTTCTGTCTTCCCAAGTGATCTTAATAACAGCAGATACTCAGTATCKGCAAGTAAACACTGAAAAATCACTTGCTTGATTACACTTGTGGGCCATTAAATATCTGCTTTCATCTCTGTAATTCCTCTCTTCTCAGAGCCTCGGCAGTGGGACTCAATCAGCCATGTGTTATCTTTCCCAGATCCCTTTCGGAGCATAGCACAGTGCACAGGAATGCAGTTTGTCAAACACATTGTGTCTGAAATCCTTTGTTGGGAGAAGTGGAGAGAAAGAGATTATAAAATGCCTCAAAAYCTTCAATAAAGCCATTCCCAGGTTTCTTGTATCTGTTCAACCAAACAAAGCATTCATACCTCACTTTGATGTATAGGATGGTATATTATAGTGTATAGTGTGTATTGTMTCTCACAACAGCATCTGTTGTCCAGGCTGCAGTTTACAAAGAATAACTTATTTGGTCATAGTAACTTACTATTCTTTGGCGAGTTTTTAGGCTCAAGGACAGCACAGAGGGGAATTTAGGAGAAATAAATATATCTGTTCCCTATAATGTTGGTTTTCATAGGTAGTAAGATTTAAGATCCTGGTATGTTTTGTAGGAAAGGTGAATAAAAATACCCAATCAAGCTGTTGATGTGTGTTTTTCATTACTCTCCTGACGCAAATCTTTCAGAGGTAAAGCTGAGCAGTGTGAATAACTTCTTGAGACTGTTTACTTCTGTAACCCTGAGACAATCTTCCTGTAGTGTTTCCTCCTCAAAATTCTATACACAAAAACTGTTTACTTACAATACAYTATCACTGTAGGTTTAAGTTGAACATTTTACACTGGGTTAATTTTGAGAAATTAGCCTAGAATCGGTAGGAGCAGATACATTGTAAAGTGCCAAATAAGTTGCAGAGTCCACCCTGATGTTGCTTACTGTGTTTTGGGCAACACATGCAGTTTTCAGCATTGGAAGCAGAGTTACAATGTGAATTCTCTGCCAGTGCACTCTGAGAAAATTTGTCTCTCCTTTACAGGTCAGACATCCAAGGGGAAGTCTGGGAARGCTTTGTAATGCAAATCTAGCTAGCCTTCCTTCACACAAGGAATGTTAGATGCTGACCCATAAGAACTGAGTTCAAGATTTCTGTGAATATGTGGGATTTGAATTAACATGGTAATAAAAGGCTGTAAGATTCAGTATCTAAAGGATTCAGTATCTAAATCACTTACATGGTTTGGAAAGCTAAAATTATCTCTGATAATAATCTCTCTGATTAAAAGAAAGCTSGTTGATGCTTTTCCTTGGCATAAACATTAACAGGAATCCCGTGGCACTTGGATGTTTGTTGAACAGCTGGTGTGTTTTGTTTCATAGAGTCAAAGAGAAAAGTGGTGGTAGGTTTATTGGAGATATGCTGTGTTTATGGTGGATGACAGAGAATTGAGATGTATAACAAACAGCAAAGCAACAGATCTAAGCAAAAATGCCTAGTTATTATATTTGGGTGATTTTTTGTGTAAGGAAGTATAAAGCACATTAACAGGCAAATTAAAATGCACCAGTAATAGCCCATTGAATTTAAACAAGAAAAAAATAACAGTGAAATCAACTTGTTCAACTCTGTGGGACAGACAACTTCCTATTCTTTAATTCCATGATATTTTAATGAAAAATTAGAATAGAGATACAGAATAGAGAAATACCAAATGTCTACATGAAACAGASACACACAGTAGAATTCGTATTTGCCCCGGAGGATGTTTGTCTTTTATCACTCTGTTTTGTTGACTGTATATTTCTTTTCAGCTCTATTCTTTTGTCTTGTGGAACACAGTCCAGATGAAAAATAAGAGCTTCAGATAAAATTGTTGGAGGACTAGATAGACATGACTATTTTACAATTTTATTTCAATACTAATATTTTCTATCTTTCTTCCTTTTTCTACAGAGGGTATGAACTGTATGAACAAAGATCATGGGTGTGCACACATCTGCCGGGAGACACCCAAAGGTGGGGTTGCCTGTGAATGTAGACCTGGCTTTGAACTTGCCAAAAACCAGAAGGACTGCAAATGTAGGTAGATGAAGATTCAATTTCAAATGCCCCAAAATGTCTTGTTTTTTAATTGTTCTCATGTTACAGAAAAAAATAACTTTGTTTTGGCCAAAGGTGATTTTTAATTTTAGTAATGACGGGTTTTTGCTGTAGAAGGTGCATTTGGGAATGGATAAGAGGGATTGGATAATTGAATGTTGGCAGTGGCTCAGTTATCAAAATGATGACAACTTTTCTACTTCCCTATGAGTGCAGAAAAAAAAGGATCAGTTTAATCCAGACTTTCCTTGTAAAGCAATACAAGTAAAGCATAGTGAAATCTGGCTTGCAATATTTTGAAGGTCCACAAACGTGGATGCATTGATAAGTCTACTAATGAATTTAATGATACACCCACTAGAGCTATCAAATTAAGAGAGYGAGTTCCTCTTTTTTAAAATACCAAAATTATTGCTCTATTCTTGATTCCACTGCACACAGTCTAGATTTATTATTTGGAAAACATGCAGCTGCAGCATATATACTATTCTTCAGAGAAAAGCCTAGAGTGGTATATTCTTGAAGCTGGAATCCTAAAGATACAGATACTCGTTACCCAAAAAAAATTAGAAATTGTTCTGTACAGGTTCAAAAAATTGCCCTCAGCATTGTCATCTGAAAGCTTCARAATTGAATCTTTCTGATGGCGTCAGTGAGACTTAGATCTGCGTCCAATAGCTTGCATTCCTACTTGATAGCTTTGAGAGAGACAGAAAAAAAGGAGTTCAGTAAAAGAACATGGACTGTTTGCTGCTTTGCATAGAGCCAGTATTTTTGAGACAGTCTTTCTTACACTTCAGTTCTTTTCTTCCTGAGGCTTCACTGTGTAAACACATATAGATGATATTAGTTCCCAAGTACAAAGTCAAAAGAATCACTTTTGGTTATCATAAAGAAATGCCACAGAATATTGTACAGCCAGATTGCTGCTCAATATTAAGAGACTACAYGGGGCCAAAGGCAAAAGCACAGAGCAAAATGCCTTTATGGTATTTTTCATTTTTAATGTTTATTAGAAGTGAACATTGCRTGCTGTTAATTGGCGTGCAACATCAGCTACATTGGTGAAGTGTAGGAGGATGTTTATTTTTGTTATTATTTGTTTCCTCAAATTTTTATAGTCTTTGGGAATTTCARTATCATTTTCCATAGTGAGATGGTGGCAGGAGGATCAGAGCCTTTTCTGGAACGTTATTTCTAAATGCCTCGAGGTTTAATAGAGTAAAAACTTCAATTCTGTGCCCTCTGGTGTTCATATTGTAGTTGGAAGTATAATGAACTTTTGGCGACAGACCTCTAAATAGGTACACTGAGTTTTCCAAGGCTGCATAGCTTAGTTCAGAGTACACCAGCCTCTAAACCAACAGCAAATCCTGCAAGTATGTTCCATAAATAAGTCTTATTTATAATAACTACTTCTAGTGCTTCCAAATGCAAAGTATAAAGGTGTAGCCAGATAGGACAATAATTGTGAGATTACAGCAGGGTATTTATAGAAATCTAATTCTGAAACCAAATCTCAGCTTTTAAGAAAAACTTTTRCACAGCTAACCATTTCAGTGGAATTGGCTTAAATCTTGAGCTGCAGTTTTGCAACTRTTCAGTGCAGCTATATTGAAGAGCTGGAAAAGAAACCCTTCCCCCTTGCCAGCCTGGACTGGGTCTGTAGCCCCGTATAACAGGGACTGGTAAGGTCTGATATACCCTTGTACAGTGTACCACTAGTGAAACACTGTATCCCTCTTAATTATGCTGATTTATCATGGTCCTTCAGGGGTCCATGCCTTTCAGGATTTGTCAGAGCTTGCTACTCTGTTTTTTTACATGACAGGGAATTTAATGCACCTAGTACTTCTCTAGGTTAATTTTTATCAGCCATTTTGCAATTCAGTCAGACAACTGGGAGAGGTTTTCAAATGCATTGGCCCAAGGCCTCTAGTAACGATGCATGTGCTCCTCAGTGGAATATGTTAAAATAAGTTGGAAAGCAGAAAAACTTGGAGGGAGACTTCCTGCTTTTTATGCATGCATCACGAGATTGTCATTACATGCTAATGACATAATCTCATGCCATTTTATCATTTACTATCCCATGCTRATAAAAAAGTCACTCTTGCTTCATTCAGTGAAGTCCATGATGGTGAGTGTTCATTAAATAGGCTTGTGTTCAGTAGCTTCCTCTCCATAATTTAGTGTCATGCCTTTCCAGCTGCACAGTATTTAAGCCCTATTGTGAACATAAAATTTTTTATCTCCTCATGGATTTTTCCATGATACTCATTACTGTAATAACAAAGTGCTTTACAGGCATTTGTAATGTATTTTCAAAACATTCTTTTCAAGCTAAAACGTACTGSTTTGCCTATCTTACAAAAGAGAAATTATTATAAAGATATTAATGTCAAAGTCATTTAGTAATGATAGGTGATTGACAAGAGCCACACAGAACCCAGCTAAGCATGGGTATGATCCCAGCCCAACTCCTTTTGGCTCCAGCTKTAGCTGCAAACACCATAGAGAAAGGAATATAATATCAGTTACCTATAATAGAACAGATTCAAATGACTTGCCAAGCTCTAAGTATGAATTCCACAACGAAGGCAGAAATAGATTAGAGGTTTTAGGGCTCTTTTCACTGAACAAGACCATTCTTTCTTGACAGTCCATTTCTGATTTGCTGTTTACTCTGCAGCAGATGAGAAAAGCTTCCCAGCTGTTTCCACAGCCCTGACTTTCCCCAGCTTCACTATGCACTAAATGAGACAGGAGTGTTTTCTGCATTTGTCATTAAGGACAGTTATCATGATAGTATAGGTCTATGTACAAGAAGTCTGGTATTTTGTAACTTTTGAGAGTTTAAGATTGCAGCCTTAATGGTTTCTGAGTGTAAATTTTAAGCATGCAATTTCTAGTTGCCCAACATGCTAAGAAAACACTGGAGTGCTGAGACTGAAAGGGACCTCAAGAGGCCATTTAGAAATACACCAAGCTGAATCATACAGATCCATACATGATCCCTCAGATGAGCTGCATCCTTCAGATTCAAAGCACCAGTAAAATTCAGCTTCTGGGACTTTACTGATACTTCTGTAAACTACTTCAGTGACCTCCCAAGCCAAGAAGAAGATTATGCTTTGTCAGTAATTTTCATAAATACTTGCTGGCAACAGAAAGACTTCAGAGCAGTGAATTTGGTTCCAGATTATGTTGAAAAAATGGGAATTTACCTTCTCTTTCTTCTGTATCTATGGAAAAGACCCTGCTCATGAGCATTATTGCATTACATTTTTCCCCCAAATATGTACAAACCAAGATATTTTGTGTTCATCTCTTTCTGAGCTGGAAGTTTAAAAAATAAGAGGAAACCTTAATCAGATACGCGTATTTGCAAGTYGCAACCTAAAAGAGTATAAAGAAGTAAAAGCTGAATCTTTTAATGAAAAATGCTGCATAACCTACAGCTGTTTCTATCTGCCTCCTTGGATARTAATGATTGAAGTGAGCAGGAAGACTAGTGCAAAGTAATTCTAAAAATCCTGTCTGGTACATTTGCAATAAAATCCCAACATGCCTATGCCAAATTGCAGCTTTTCAGCTTCTGCTGACAGTGTCCTCATGCAACTATTTGCTAACAGTACGAAGATCTCCAGAATGTTAAAAATATAAAACCATACCAGAATAAATCATATAAGCAATGTTGCATTCACAGCTTCATCATATAAAAAAGGGGTGCCCATATATTTCTGTATATTATATATTTGATGGCCAATTTAGTTAAGAAACAGTGCAGATTTTAAGTTATCTGGAATTACAGTATGCTCATTTGAGAAGTCCATTCTACAAAAACGAAAGATCTGTCTTGTGACAAATTCTGTAGCATCTGAGCCATAGTATATATTTCAGTCCACATGGGGACAAAATCAAGACAATATTGTCTTGGGCAATTTTTTAAGTTACCAGGTACTAAATGCTAGATTAAATAATTAAGTTTTCAATTATTTTCAAGTGCTTCTTATCATGGGCATATAATATGGATAAACCAGAAAAAGGATTCTGTGAAACTTCAGAGAAGCTGATTTAGGCTCTAGAATAAGACTGAATTCTGGTATTTTTTGTCTTCTGGGGAGTTTAGCATGGAATATCAGTATCATTATTTAGTGGACTATGTGCATTAAAATCCTTTTTGTTCTTTAAGATGTCATTTCTCTTTCAGACAGTTGTTTCTCATTTTTCATCATCCAAATGTCATTTCTAGACTAGTCTATATATTTTTCTGGATGTTAGCACTGCTAATGTACCAAGCTGTGTCTCAGGATTGTTTGGCTCAGCCCAGTCAAACTGAATAGATGCTGCTGGTTAAAGTGTGGGCAGGTGAGCACATTATGCCATTCTGCCAGCCCATAGATCAAGGGGGCCAACATCAGACCCAGAGCATCCTAGTCAGTGAAAAGAATTAATCTGGTTTGAAGGCACTTTGAAGGCCCAGTGTCAAGCCTAAAGCTCTTCATTCACATGGAAGAGTGTTGGGAGAACAGACTGGTGACTTGGCTGTCCATGCTGGCCGTATCACACAGAGGGTGTGTCATTTTAGAGCTTCTCTGCTGTTGTACAGGGTATTTCTCCCACTAAGGGAAAGAGCCCAGCATTTTTATTGCACTTAAGACATATGCAAATACTGAAGCACTGTCATAAGATGCTGTTATTGTGGTTTTAAATCTGTCATGTGAGGATAAGTATGTATGAGTTCTGACAGATATGTACATATTTTCCTTTGGTTAAAAAGGAAAATTGTAACATGATTTATAATATTGTAACATGATTTATAATATTTTAAGGTGATCTGTCAGAATTTACCTGTTTGCCTCTTTAATGTCGCAGAATGTGAATGAGCACAGAATTGTTTGCATAGCTGCAGAGTCCAAACTTATCAGAAAGAGTTTTTAAAAGAACACTCAGTGAATTCTCAATAATATTGCTTTAATTCTTTCTGACAAAAATGGAGTAGATCTGGATGTCCTTTTGCTTTTAAATAATTATGATTTTCTTCCTGTAAGCAAGAGAAACTTCCCACTGTGTCACTGCCRCAGAATGAGGGCTGGAAGAAAATTGAAATGACATCTTTTACAACTGGATTTTGTACCAATTTCACCTTGTAGAGCTGTCAAGCTTCAGAATTTTGGCTCAAGTGGCTTAAAATAAATTAATATATTGTACTCTAGACAGAAATTCAGATCCTTTAAAAATGTGATTTACTAATGTTCCTAGGAGACAGGAAGAGGAACTGACCTACATGTGTATTAATGGACTGGGTAGAACAGGAACCAGTAACTTTATTATGCAGAGAAACTGTAAAAGTGTGTGATTCTGCAGGATTTACTAAAAATACCATCAGTCTGGTGCGATTTTTTCATAGACAAATATAGTAAGGAAAAGTTCCTCATATTACGTGGGTCAAAGCAAGCATGTTAAGATATTTCCATCTCTGCCAGCAGAGGCTTTCAGCAAGGAATGCCAAAAATAACCACTGCAGTCACATTTTTTAAATACACACTTTGTTGATGATTGCACTTTAAAGTCTTCAATAAAAATACTGTTGGMTAGAAATGTATTTAAACATCTGGCATAAACAACACCTTTAAGTTAATTTGTGATGGCACTGCAATCCAATGAGGACAGAAAGTCCACATAGTCCTAGAGGCATATGGGGTCAAGTAATAAGCATGTCTTCATTGGAGAGGTCGGAGCTTTAAGAATAAAAGATTGACATAAATTTTTGTTTGTTTTGCATCAGAACTAAAAGCCAAAATGTTATGGTTTAGTGAAAGGAAAGAAATTATGTTTCCATTTGATGCAAAGCACAATGATTTGCTTCAGGTATTTTTTCTCACAAATGAATTATTAGTTAAGCTGTTAAAGTGGAGAAGGAGAAAGAATGCCTGACATTGGCCATTGCCTAGGGGGTTTTGTACTGTAATTCCTTGGAAGTTTAGGATTCCTATGATTTGAGGTATATTCCCTCCTCTCTCTGGTTGGACTGAACCCACAATTTCCATTTTTGAGTCTAGTGCACAAACTGTCAGGCTCCAAAAAGGGAACATGGGTCAGGCTGGTCTCCCCATCTTTCTCACTGACATTCTTTCCAACTGGATAGAACAGCAATATTCCTGGAAAGTGGAGTGGGAATCCAGGCAGGCTCTCTTCTCAGAGATTGTTCTTACCACTAGGCATGAAGGCTGTTCCCTCTCTATCTCTGAAAAGCAGAATTTTATTCCAAGTRTATAATGGGAACCACTAAGAATGCTTGCACCTGTACCTGGCCTCAGGTCTGTACTCACCTGAGAGATGGACAATTCTTATTGTGATCTTTGCCAGAATTCAGGGACTGAAGTTGTAAACTTGTGGTTCCCAGGCTGGCAGGAGGTTTTAATGGGAATTCTGTTGGGCATGCTGACGTGGGTCTCCCTCAGTTGCTTTTTTTAGAACTGTTCCATTTTAAGCTAAATACTGAGAGTGACATGATTGCTCAGCACTGAGGCACTCACACCAAAGGTGAAATATTTCATTTCTAGTTACCATGATGGAAAAATCCAGTCAACTCCATTTTCAGAAGCTAGCATTAAAGCAGGGTCACTGAGTTTTGTGGGAAAATATATAAGCTTAGCCCTCTTACATTARATACAACCTCAGTTTAGAGTTAGATACATGATTTTCAAATTTTGTTAATCATTATCTGGGTTTTACTGTATATTGCAATTTGCTGCCYTGACTGTTTTATAAACTCTCTTATCTAGAAAGAAAATTCYGTTCAGACCAATGTGAAGAAGTTCCTTCTGATTACTAGKAGTCAGTATTTAAATTAGTGTAGTCAGCATTTAAATTACCAAAACATTTCAAAACATGRAAGTCCTCTTAAATTATGAGTATATAACTAAATAATGGCATATTTCTGCTATATCTCCTAGTATGTATATACCAATAAAGAACCTATACCAAATGAAGACAGTAAATTAAATTCAGAAATTGGTCAGATCAGAAGTGTGTGATTCAGCATCAAGGTGTGCAGCTGCAAAGGACTAAATAAAAAAGGGACAAGTGACAGGCTTTATTAATGGTACTAGCCAGCTTAATTTATTAAAACTGGTTTGTCTTAGCAGTCAGAAATTAAATCCATCATGTTAGAAGGGAAATYAATTGAAACTGATCTATTAATTCATGTAAACTTCAAAACTCTACCTACTCTCGAACATGAAAAATGTTTGCTTTAATGTGTGTTTAGTACTTTTTCACTGGAGGACATTTGAATTGCTAAAAGCTGTTTTTCACTTTATGCTTGAAAGTGAAAGTGGCATCTCCAGTGCTTCCTTCCTGGCTGAGGCCAGCACATGGTAGAGCCATAACAACTGTGTATTTTTTGTTGCAGAGAAGAAAAGAAACCACAAACATTTCCTGGTTTATTTTTAAACCTGTTGCTCTAGGAGAGCCAGTACTTGATACAGCAGATTTCAAGACTGTTCTTGCTGTTTGGGCTCTGCTTTCTCTGTCTAGRGAATGAAGGGGAAGCAAAAGAGAGACTCTCTCTATAGACTTTAAAATATACATGTGTATTGGTTAACTGTTAATTTCTTCATGGAAATGAAGCATGTGGCATTTAAGAGATGTGAAATTGTCTAAGAGTCATACAAGAATTATAAGTACAAATAGACTGGGGAAAATGCTTTCATTTTTCTTTCTCTTTTTTTCTTTACTGTATGGTTTGAGGCTAGGGCATGAGAGGCAGAAGGGAGGGGGCAGAAGGAAGAAATAGAATTGCAAACACAAATGTTACGTTGCCTTATGTCTTAGTATATTACTGCTCTTCTGTGTTCTGTAAGGCCCTCAAGACTAATTGGTTTCATTGTCATTTTATTTATATATACATATATATATACATTCATTTGGGGCTTAACTAGTAACCTGTAACTATGGGAATGGAGGCTGCCAACACACCTGTGATGACACAGATACTGGTCCTGTGTGTGGTTGTCATCAGAAGTATGCCCTGCACTCAGATGGCCGAACCTGCATTGGTAAGTACYTCTCTGCAGCACATTTATTTTTATTGCTCAGAATCTGTGTGCCAYGTGTGGGTGTGTCTCTGGGCGCGTGTGTGTTCATGTCCCACAGGAGTTCAGCACTGTCACTGCTGACAGAAGTGTGTTCCAGCAGTTCCTGGCTGCTGCAATTGATCTCATGCCAGACACACAGAGAAGTGTTTGTGAGTGRTTTGTCAAAATGTTTGTTAATGAAGTATTCCTTTGTTACTCACTTGAAACTTTTGTTTCTGTTCATAACTATTCATTTTTGAAGTAAAAAGGTGTAGAACATTCATCATTTTGAATGAAAGTTCAGCTCTTCAGTTTGCTTTCATTCAAGATTCCTTGCATGAGCAAGGCTAGGAAAATTACCTTCTTTTCTGAGCTTTTATGAGGGAAGAGGGGTCCTCATTATGTGCTTTCTTCCCTGTTGTATGTTTCATKATTCTAAAAATTACAGCATTTGTAGTGACTAAGCTTTCATTCAGAATATTGGTAGGAAAAAGCCAGTCAGGACATGGAGCATCTTGGCCAGATGCTTTGCAAGCATTATGATTATAACATGTATTGTTTTTTTAACACCATTTCTTCCCACTCCATTTTAAAATAATTAATAATTAAAAAGTACATTTTTTGCATCGTGCAGGTTAACATTTGAAAATTCTTACTCACAGCTCAGAACCTGAAATCCATAATGGTTTTCATTGGCATTGTGGACATGTTGACTTTTTGTCTTTGTTTAATTTCAAATTCTTACAAATTCTGAAGTAATTTCCTGATGTTAAAAAACCACAGACACATATTTATCATAYTTTCTCTCCTATACTGTAAGACAGAGCAATTGAAACCCATGATAATCTGTCAGTTACCTTTAGCCAGTCTGTCTTGGTCAGATCCRTGGCATAAAGCTCCATGGCTGCGCAGAGCTTTGCTCACTTCTGAGGGGTTTAGTTGCACAAATTGTAGGGGAGGGCGAGGGTTATGATGGCAGAAGTAAAGCTGGATGAAGCTCAGAGCTGGGCTCTGCCTCGTTGCTGCACAAGGTGTGTCAGAGTGCAGGACATCTCTCTGTGACCACCTCTGATAACGCAGAGGGCTCCATCCTACAATMCCTGTCCTGTGGCAGTTCCAGATGCGGAGAATTTGCGAGAGTGAGAGTCTTGAGAGCAGGTTTTATGGAATGGATAATTGATCTTCTATTTATTATTGTTCACTAATATCCTTGGATTGATGTTTTATTTTGTCCAGCATGTAAAAATTTATTTTAAATGCTGTGTACATTGTATCTGTTTTTTACTTTTTTTTTTCCATTTTCGTAATGTAATACATACAACTCCATGTTACATTCCTTGGTCTTGTGATGTAAGTCACATTACTGCCTGTGCTGATTTTCTTCCCTCTAAAATAGTTCTTTCTCTTAGAATACTTCTATTTTTTTTTATTTTTTACATTTTTATTCCTGCTTTCTGGTGATGGTTCCTGATTGCCTGTCTTGTCTGATAACTGACGTTTATTAATTATTTACAGAGAAAAAAAAAACAAACTCAAACAAAAGCCTCTATTGCAGCCTGATCCCATCTAGAACTTGTTAAAAACAAAACAAAACAACTTCTTGTTACCACTCAACCATGTAGAGTTGCCACAAATAAAACCTGCCAGCCTCCTCCTCCTCCTCACTTCAGTGATTCCAGTGTTTGATGTCTTCAGTGGTGTATATATACCAGGCATCACTGAAAGAATGCAAACTTCTGCAATGCCACATAAATACTTGTTTACCCTTTGTCTAACATATTTTGTCTTTGTTTGCTTGACTTAACCTTTTTTTTAATGTTTGCTGCATGTAAAAGTCTCCACTTGAATTTTYATGTTTGTTTTCCTAATGAGCATCTCCCTTCTTCTACAAATCATTGTATTTACCCAGCTGCTGCTCCTCCATTCCTCTCCTGTATCAGAAATCTTTAGTTTTATTACACCTACTGATCATCTCTTCCCACACTTGTGACTGTTTCTGTGTATTTCTAATGAAGCATAACGAAATGCTCCTCATTATGCTGTATGAAACTCTTAAATGTAGGATGYCAGAGACGATCTTGTAAAATGATCTCTGATGACATCATCTTGCTTACTGCATGCTAATAAAATTACTAAACCCTGTTCTTGCAACATCTTTCCTAGCATTGAATGTTTAGCTAGTAGTGTTCATAGACAAGCAGGCAACCAGCACTGCCCAAATTGATCTTTTTTGTGTTTGTTTGGTTTGTTGTTTGTTTATTTTTGTTGGTTTTTTTTGTTTAATTTGCATGCAGTTGTTTGGTTTCTCAGTGTGTCAATGTGTACAAGGCTATGGTGCATCCGTGCCCATCCATCACCGGACTCCTCTCGCTCTGTCTGTCTCAGTCTTCTGCCTGCCACCTTCAGATCCTGGTGCCACCATTAGCCTGGATCACAGTTTGTCTTTGGTAGTTTGTTTAACTAGCCTTCCTGAATTTTAATTTTCATCACTAACACTTCTCTGGGGCACCCATGTTAGCTGTCTTGTTCTCCAGTAGAAATCCAGCTTCCTGTATGTGGTTAATTACTTCATAGTTGACCATTCTTCCTTCTCACCCTCTTTCTTCCTCCTTTCCCTAAACACCCTTATAATTTTTTCCTGGGTTCTCAAAGGGAATTAACTCTCTAACGGGGATTTAGTGCTTTCATGCCTTGCTTCTTGGCTTTGGCTGTGCCATGCCAAGAAACTATCTTAGGCAGCGGAAAATTGGGCTTGTGATTAACCAACTGCTCCATGTTTGTCCCTTACTTGTGTTTTAGAGAAGGATGAGGCTGCAATTGAGAGTTCTGAGTACAATACCACGTCAGTAGCTGATGTGGACAAGCGGGTGAAACGGCGGCTACTTATGGGTAACACTTTTCTTCCACTTCCTTTGTTGTGCTCTCACTTTTGTCTGTGTGTATGTTGGGGGGAGGTTCTCTTTTGGTCTCATTTGGTTTTGGTCTCCTTTGGTTTGGCCTGTTTTTGGTTTTTTTTTTTTAACCTGACTTCATCTGTGTGGAAAGGTCATCAATTTTGTTAAGTTCTCATCTGTTGTACAACTTCATTTCTTGTTTTTAAACGTTTTTTCCGAATGCTGCAGCTTTAATGTTCAATTTTCTCTGCATAGAAAGAAGCTTTTGCCATTAACCTTACTTAGCTTATGCAAGCTACTTTTTACATGTGATTTGTGTGTTTGTGTGTATGTGTTGCTATAGTATTCCTGAAAAATCTCCTGTTGCAGACCTGCCTATTGACTTAAAAGTGGATGATGATAAAAATGATGATGACGATATAAACTAATATTATATATGTGGTGTTAAAGGAACGAGTGTACTTGCCTAATTAAAATTTCCTGTACTTTTGATTGAAATGTAAATATTATGACTGGAAATTAATTTATTTCCTTAGTGCAGCTATTTTAGTAACCACTGAAAGATCTTTCCCTAGTGACTAGTGAGCTTCTGTATGTTCTTTCAAGACTGAAGCATGACTTGTTTCTCTGTGTTACTGGAGCCTGAGAGTGGAAGAGACTGGGAAATGTGCTGAACAGTGAAGATAATCCTTTATCTTCTGCTCTCAGTTAACCCATTGCACACCCTTGTGCTTGTCTCCTTCATGTGACATTTCTGTTAGTGAGAAGGGCTTTTGGGAATAGAAAGGGTCAAGTGGCTGGGCCTCTGGCAGAGTTTGCATGTGGCAAAGAGCAGAGAGTAGCACAGGCTGCTAAATGATGCCTGGAGGTTTTCAGGTGGTTTATTTCTCCTGTTTTCCATTCTGATGACCTACTCACCACATAAAATTATTTACACTAGGTTTAAACATAGTGACCATTGGTGGGATGTACCCAATGGACCACTTACAGGACAGGGATTGATCACCCACAGAAGAGATTGTCAGGACCAGATTCTGCTCTCTTCCCTCTGGGTTGTTATTTCTTTTCTTAAAACTACTCAGTCCTTTGCAGACTGTCCTGCTAGCATTTGGCAAGCTCAGCTCTCCCTGTGAGCATGCACACCTATCTGGAGTACCCACCTCTARGAGACCAGAAGCCTCACTTTGAATATTAGTTGATTGCTGGGCTATAGTTGCAGGAGATGGCAATATTTATAAAGTTTCTGTATCATTTATATCTTGTCACCCATGAGAAACCACCCAGTTACCCGCAGATCAGCATRCAACCACTGTGTAGGAAGTGGCACWGTGTTATAASTCTGTAAYRGTATTAGATGACAAGAMTGAGGTAAAATAWCTTCCTTCATRTGAAAACCTGGGCATATGTTCCTTTATTGTTAAATTATCCATGATTGTTAATTTCCAATTAGTTTGCGGACCTAGCAAGTTACCCATATAATTTTGTTAATGATACACTATTTCAAATAATTTAACCTAGCAAAAGCTATGAGGCACCTCATCTTGCTTTGTAAATGTGCTATTTACACTTTCAGCTGTAATTTCAGTAAGACCCAGAGTCTCACAAGAAGTCAGGAAAATAAATGTGCCAAAAGGCTCTAGAGCACTGAAAAATGCAACCCTCTGGGTCTAAATGGYGAGTTCACCCAGCCACAAATAGTATGTACAGTACTCTCTAGAGGTACTGAGCAATATAGTGCACTGTGTTGATGCCTCACCCTCTGAAAAAAATAAATATCCAACCTGAAAATAAGCTCACTTCTTCCAAGAGTCCAGGCAAATAGCATTAAAAAGTTGAGCATTAAAAAGATTAGTAACAGCTTTCTTAATTACGCCAGGTCTGCAAGCTCCAGGCTGAACATGGACTCTAGTAACAGGCTTAGGGAGATAGTTTAAAATCCAGTTTGCAAAATACATTGTTTAACTCTTCARTATCTCCTGTATTATCAGGTATTAGCTGAGAGCTGAGAGTTCATGAACATGATGTATTTAAACCACTGCTTAGAAAAAATAGATTAAYTAGAGAGGAAAAGAAATTTAATGAGTGAGATCTGAGTGGAAGGCTTATTATTTTGGGACTTTTCTACTTGTTTGTTTCTACAGATTTCTAATATTCAGATTTTTTTTAATGGATTCCTACTCATTTCCAAAGTGTAGTGGCATTTCCATGAAATTCCATATGTCTTCAGATGTTTTCTAAATAGCTGTTTTAGGAAGTACTGGAAGGCTTCTCAGGAGACTTTTTTCCCAGGTTTTCTAAATGGACTGTGATTTTTGATCCTCCTGCAGGCAGTCTTGGGAAAGTAGGAAAAGWAGACTTTTTTGTAATTTTAGTAGTTTGCTGAAAGGTGCTTTCAGTTGTAAATCCTGAGATGATAACTTCTAGTCCCCTGTCATTTGCTGCATGCTATCAAAATGACTGATGTGTATAACCCTTAATATCAGCCAAGGCTCAAAATAAGCTTGACAAGATTGCTTTAGAGCAGTGTTGTTGTCAGACAAGGCTGTCTATACCAGTCATTTGCTACAGCAAGACTGGCCACCTCTGTATCTCAGAGTGGCTCTTACAAGGGCCTTTGAGTCACGCTGTGGTCCTGTGACTTGTGGCTAAATCTTAAAAAAGATAAAGAGTCAATAAGTACACATTATTCCTTTCTCTTCGATGCATTTTTATGTAGATCTTGTGAGGCAGATGAGAAGCTGRTCTTCTCTGATGACCTACAAGAAACTTTCCTTTAGAACTGTCCAGTGATGCTTAGGAGTTTYCATCCAACATTTTCATAAAATTTGGACAGACCCTGAGGGCTTCCAGCAGTCACTTATTTCCCTAGATCAGAGAAAAGCCCTTGGATAAAGAGCACTCCCATTAAAGAGATGGCACTGAATGAYTGTTGTCTGGTCAGTGAATGTTCATGCAGCTCATTTACCTCTTCTTCACTTCCCCTTGGCCATTGCCATCATGGAGTAGAAGCAGTGTAGCCTTAGTTGTACTACAGGTGGGCTCCTGGAGAGGTTCTGCCATAGCTCTRTGGTGGCTTCTGTAAACTGGACATTGAGCCATGAACATTCTGAGGGTTAGGAAGGACATCCATCCTGCAGAAGTGAACACATCCCAAATCAGAACCATATCATCATCTGTAAGGGAGCTTTACATCCCCCTTGTTGCAGAACACCTTGCACTTGCTATAAACCAGAAAGGCACAATCAATGTCTTCAGGTCTTTTTAAACATCTGATACTGCTTATCTTGCAGTTAGGTGARCACAGCCTTAAGCTCTTAAAATTATGCTCAAATCTCTATTTTATGTGGWATAACATTTCTTTTTCTGAAAATATTTTGTGTGTTGCTTAGGAGYATCACAGAGACCTCCTCTATTTTCCTTTACCTTTTTTTTCCTTGAGAAAAWAAGTCATTTGCCATGACTGCTTTTTCTGTCACAGCATCATAGTATGTGACTGTTTATCTGGTCAGAAGGATGGACTAATGCATTTCACATATATTCCAGTCTACATCTAGAATGAAYGTGAAACACATTATATCTGCCCTGCCTACATCTATGAGAGTCATTCTAGTATGGGCATACSAGAAGCACCATATTCTGTTCTCTTWAGAATAGAATAAAATTGTGCTATTTTCTTTAGAAGCACCAAATTTCCACCTAACTCTACTGATACACATATCTTCAAAATATTTTGTCCAGTGTCACATCTTCRGCAATGGAAATTGCTTTTATTCATGTTTCCATATCTCTTTTTGCTATTATAGCCCTGGATAGAATTTGTAAGTCAAACAGTTCTATCATCGTCTAAAACTGTAAAGATAAATCATCCAGTAGTGTCTTTATCATTAAATAAATTGTAAATTATCAAGTCTCAATGGGCTTAACATTCTCCTTGGCCACTGCCTTTCACTCAAAAAGGCTGCAGGATTTTCACAGAGCAATTRTGTGTTGATATCCTGAAGCTTTCTTTCAGAAACTTTTTAGAAATTTTAGAAGTTTCTTCTTAMAGCTTTACTTTTCATACCTTTCTTATAGAAATTGATATTATGGACAGAGAAATCGAATTTATAGAATCAGTTATGTCATTTGGCTCCCTCATTACAAATAAGTCAACTGCTTACAAAGGTGTGGCAGGCTGCTGAAAGCTTCTTTTTGAGGAACCAGAACTGTAGGAGTGTCTGGAATTAAGATTTAGGGAATTCTCATCTCCTAGTCAGAGGTAATGCTTTCCTCTTTGGCTACTCTTTACATCAAGTCTTTGAACCAAGTAGTTTTATGAAGTATTTTTTATATTGTCTTTAAAAATTCAGTCACTGCTACATTGCCATTGCCACGGTCCTTATTAGACTGCATTAATCTGTAAAGTATTTTAGCAACAGAGCCGTGATGTTCTATGCAGGCTGTTTGTTAGATCCTATCCTGTAGTCAGCTCTTGAGGAGGCAGACTTGACCCATTTCTCACGGTGTTTCATTTTTCTTGCTGTATTCTTCAGCAGTCAATGGATCAGGTTCATTTGCCCTTGACGTGAAGATTTCAAAACAACTGTCAATGCCATATATCTTCAATCCCTTTTCCATTCTTCCCAGAGATTACTGTTGTGAGAACTCACTTTGGCAATRAAAGGTTCTTGCTCTGGCCCTAGAATATAAAAAGTTGGTTTCTTGTTGTCACAAGAAGAGTGTTATGCAAAGTACTTTTGAGTATAACAAAGAGTAGCAGGACAGTGAGTCCATCTAGAAGTTAAGCACGGCTATTTCCCTGGCATGCTTAAGGGAAGTATAATATTACACAAGTAATACCATTGCCACAAATGTCTTCAGAAATGCAGACTGTGCTTGGAAATTCACTCCTTCATGAGACATGCTCAGCTAATTTTGTGTCAGGGCAGTTTAGGATTTTGCCATTGGATACTGACTTCTTGGGCCATCAGTAGGGTTATTTGCAACCCACCTCAG